AACTGGTTCTGAAACATAAGCGCTCTTTACCCATAAATTCATATTGTATGGAAAGAGAAGGGAATAGACTTTAAATCATATGTAGAATAATTAGAATTGGGAATATTAATCTAGGCTGATGATACTAGCAAGCAGTATGGAAACCTGCTTCTTTGTAATAAGACATGTTCAGGTGGTAACCTTCTGCTGGCTGATAGTGGATAAGGAAGATATGGTGAGCAAAAGGTTAAAAAGTAAGGTTTCTGGCAGGGCAGGGTGGCTCATGCCTGTAATCCTAGCACCTTGGGAGGCCAAGCCTGGAGGACTGCTTGAGGCAAGAATTTGAGACCAGCCTGACAAAGAGTGGAGAACCTGGTTCTACAAAATATAGAAAGAAAAAAAAATTAAGCAGGTGCGGTGGCACATGCCTTTGGTCCCAGATACTCAGGAGGCTGACTGAGGCAGAAGGATCCCTTGAGCCCAAGAGTTTGAGGTTGCAGTGAGGTGTGAAGAGGCCACTGCACTCCAGCCTGGGTGACAGAGCGAGACCCTGTCTCAAAAAAAAAAATTACCTGGAGATCTATAAAAATTACTGATCTGTGGCCCCTACAACATTCTGAGTTAATTGATATGTGGTGTGACCAGTACATTACAAGTTTTAAAATCTCTCCAAGTGATTCAAATGTAAAACAATGTTTGGCAACTATTGGGTTAAAGTTATAGAAGACTTTCATGAACTCATCTGTATTCACACACGTCCCTTATGTGCATTTCCTCTGCTACTATCCCCAACTAGAAATCTGAAATAAAAGTATCCAAATGAAGTCCCCTGTCCAATAGTCTTCACATTGGAGCACATTACTCTCTGGGACACAGAGCATGAAGGCTCTTCCCTTCCCTTTGCCCTTCTGACCTCCTCTTCTTCTCTGGCTTTGAAGTCTGTCTTTTTCTCTCCAATTCCAGTAGCAAGACCCTGGAGCCAAGCTGGCAGGATTAGGATACAGGCCTTGTCATCCCAGCAGTGTCTGGATCCAGAACTGTAGATTTCATATCTCTTTTCCTTCATACCATATTAATCAATTATTTCTAGGGTGCCAATTCTCCCAAAAGCTCTATTGGTTCCTAAACGTCACCACCTTCAATTTAGTTCACAGTGAAGGGGAAAATCACAAAAAGATTTGACATGGAATCTCAGGTCTATACATAACCACATCATTGGCTCTTGGGAACTAACTATGTAGGTCAAAACCCTATGTAGCCACATGTAGCACAAATGACAAGTCTCTTCATAAAATCTTTACTGATCTCTCTCAATAAGATGTGATTTCTGCTTAACTCAAGCCCTCATAAAACTTGATTAATTCAGCAGGAGCATAGTCCAATTCAAGGGTATTATATTTAAGAATTCTTGAATTAAATTCCATTCATGTCCCTTACTAACTATGACTTCCAGTGAGTCACTTGACTTTTCTTTGCAGGTTAGGATTAAATATAATGTATGCAAAGTGTCTTGTTCAGTTCCTGAAACATACTAGACATGTGATAAACAGTAGCCATTGCTTTTTATAAGCCAGGTCAGAGCTTGCCTTATAATGTGGTTATTTAAAAACTCCAATAAGTATACTTTTAATTCATTTTTAATTATCTGCAGTACTGATGTATTCAGGTAAGAGGTAAATAAATAAATTAATATTTATTTAATTTTAATAATAAAATATTTAACAGTGAGGCCTTGTGATATGCAATTGATTGAAATGAGTAGCATTTTCCTAGATTGTGCAAACGGCAGTATATACGCAAACTCCACATGGCTAACATTCAAGATATGCTTAAATAATTTAAGGCTTTATACAGGGCTATATGCAGTAGGGTGATACTTATTCTACTCTCCGTAGATTGCTGCTAAAGGGGAAAGGATTAAAACCTAGTTGGGGTAGTGGAAATGAGTTTTCTATACAGGGAGCTGTCCCCCTTTCAGGTGACATACCAGCTACCACTGGCTCTGTCCTTGCCGCCTCTTAGAGAAACACAGCCAGAGTGTGCATGGATAAAAAGGAGAGCCCAGAAAGAGACTTGGGGTTTATGTTGCATTCTCCCAATATATTAACTCATGATCACACTTCATGCAAGAGCCAGGAAGCAAATAATGTAACAACTACTTATTCTCAGATTTAAAATATAACTGCGTAATATAACTTAGTCAAAGGGGATGTCCGCCTTGATCCACAAAGGACTTTTCCCACAGTGCTGATGGTAGAAAATAAATGAACTAGTGCAAGGTGTGTGTTTAAAATTCAAGAAAAAAAAAAAGTCTTAAAAGAAATCTTGGCTGGTAAGAAGATCCTGTGTGGAAAGATATTTATAAGATTCAATATTGTGGGCCTATATTCTATAGACTTAACAAAAATGATTAGTTCCAAGCTAACTTAGTTTCTAGTAACAGTGTCTTATTTATTTGTTGCACAATTCCTATTATCCAGGAATGTTGCTACTACATATCTTTGCTTTCAGGGGAATATCATTAAAATTTGATGCTAGTCACCGATTTGTTAAGTCTTCGAGTTTTTATAAACTGCATAACTTTCTTTGAGAAAAGATTCAGTTCCAGGTACAATACAAGCAACTCAGGTAATACACACTTGTCAATATGTCTACAATGCAGTTTTCTATTATTCCGACTCAGATAATATAGAAGGAAAAGAAAATATAAGAGATATCCTAGTTACAATGCTTTAATCCAGCAGTGTCCACCTAGAACTCGAAATTATTTGTTCCAGAATTCCAAACACAACATAATATACATACCACAATAAGTACGTTAAAACGTTAAACTGTCATTGAAAATGTGAACAAATTATGCAAACTACTAGGACAACCCTTGGTGGAGTACAGTGGGTATTCAAAAAATAATACCTCAGCTGTATGTGTGATATTAAGCCTCTAGAAAAATGTAAATAACTAATGAATGAGTCACCTTGCATACACTGGAAGAAAAAGTTCAGAATTTAAGAGTTCTTTTCAACCCAAGAGTTCCATAACATTTAAATAAATAGGTTGACAGACATAGTTATTTGTTCTAGTTCATTCTATAGACGTACATATTTTAATTTTAAACCTGGCATCATGAGTTTGAATATGCACTGACCTTTGAAAACTTTATTCTTAATAGCCTTTAAAAAAAATCAGAATCGGGTTTTAAGGTACATTATCATATGCCTTCTCCACAGTGAGAAACCGGAGCCAAAGCTTTGAAATCTACAATGGGCAGAGAGAAGTTGTTCTCCCTCTTATCAGCTGTTTCACTTCCTCAGCAGCTTCCTTCTCTTGACTTTTTGCGCTGAGCTGAAGGCCTATATATACTCAGACCTCCAGTTGGGGGAAGCCCTTCCTGGCCAATCAGGGCTTCCCGATCTATTGCGTCACACCTCCCCCCTGGGTGTGACGTCAAAGGCAATCCCAGGCCAGCCACGTGGGTTGTAGAAGTGTAGCGTTTCTGGGCAGCTACTCTACAAACCCGTTAGGCAGCAACGGTCCCAAAGGGTGGGGAGCTGGGCAGGGAGGAGCCAACGGGGCTTTACTCGTTTCCTCTGGGAGTAGGACTGGGCAGCTCGCTGGCCCCTGAGTCCAAGTACTCAGCGCTGACGTTTGGGGATGGAGAGAGGCGCTGGGGGAAACTGGCACCTACGGCTGTGTAATAGGACCCGGGTCTTGTAAGCCCTCCTCCCCAGGCACCGCCTCTCTACTCGCAGCGCCTCTTTCCAGCCTTAATTATCCTTTCAGCGCCGTTTCCCCTCGGCCGCGTTTCCGTGGCCAGAGCAGAAAGGCTCTCTGGCTCCCCAGCTCTCAGCCTCACACACAGACCCTCCTTTCAGGCCCGCCCTCCTGTTCTCGGGACCCGTTTCTGGCTCCCGCAGGGCGGGAACTAGCGTAACCAATTCCGCCCAAGGTGTTGATTGTCCATCCCGACCCAGCCTCTGGCGTCCCTCCCACCTCCACCCAGGCTCCCGCGGGCCCCTCGCCCCGTTCCCGCGCCGGGGCGCTCGGGACTGCGCCCCCAAGTCCTCCGCCGGGCCGGGCCCCCAGCTGCAGCGGAGGCAAGAAGTGCCGGCGTGCTCGGTGCCACGTCGGAATTGGCTCGGGGACGCCGCAGCTGCCCGAGAGCGGCGCGCGGTCCCCACTCGCGCCCTGCCCCCCGGCGGCTGGCGCGCCGGCCGCGCGCTGGGCAGAGGGATGCGCGCCCTCCGCCCGCTGCCGTCCCGAGCGCCACCGCCACCGCCTGCGTCTGGGACCCCTGGCCCGAGCGAGGCTTCCGGAGCCGAGCTGAGCCCGGACACAGCCAGCCTGACACTTTAATGGGGTGCGGGAAGTGCAAAGGAGGGAGGCCCGGGAAAGGGGGGAGTGGCCGAGCGAGGCCGGTAGCTGCGCGGAGGTAGCGAAGAGCCCTCCTTCTCTGGGGTCCCCCAACGTCGGAGCTGGAAGCCCGGATCGCTTAACCCTTTGCATTCCCAGCAAGAAGCGAGTTTCCTACTTAAAAGTTAAACGCGCTGGGCTGTTCCAAGGTTTTTCTCCCCATCTAGCGTGTGTGGGCAAAGAAGAAGGGAAGGGGTGGGAAGGTGAGGGCACAGGGGGTGGCTGTGCCGATGCATTTTCCTTACACAGTGGAAACTCTTGTTTCCTAACTCAGGAGCCCCTCTGCCGCTCCGGAAGATGCAGTGGAAAAGTACATCTCGGGACATGCAGCCGCAGCCTTCCCCAGGCAGAGGTTACCTGTGTCCCCAGAAAGGAAGCGGATTTCTGGCGAGAGGCGCAGAGATGAGAAAACAGAGATATGCTGCTAAGCCTGACGGTGATCTGAAATATTCCCTGATTTTCAGTCTGTTGGAAATTTTTAGACCTGAAACTTTTCTGTCAAAACTGACTTTTTTTTTTTTTTTTTTAACGCTTATGTGGATAATTTCTTCCCTCTCCCTGGCCTAGTTGAGGACCTTCATCGTTCACCAAAGTGCGCCAGGGTAACGTACCTTGTTCAGCTCTTGGTCATAAAGTCGTCCTCAGCCTGTCTGTGTGGTCCCGGAGGGTCGGTGGCGGGCAGTTTCCAAAATTGAGGTAATAAAAGATCAGATGAATTTGAGACGACCGGCCAGAAAAAATAAGAAATTTAAAAACATCATTTAAAAAGGGTGGGGGAATCTTAAATGTTTGATTCTCCCCCCCACTTTAAAGGGAAATTTCACTAATATTCGCTTTATTTTCCGTTGCCCTTCAGTCTAATTCTTTAAAAGAAGAATTATCTGTGCTTTAAAAATAAATTAACTTTTTTTTTAATTTATTTTTTGCTCCAGTCCTCCTCCCTCCCAATAACGGAAAGTCTCTTTTTTTGTATCAAAAAAAAAAAAAAAAAAAAAACAATAAGAAGCCCGGTGAAGACTCAGCAGAACCCAGGAAGCGCAGAATCGGGAGAAAAGTCTTTGGCTGGGGCTGGTTCAAGTCCCTGGTTCAATGGGCTGCTCGAAGCCAGGGCTGGGTAATTCTTTCCAGACGTCTTGACTTCTCCTTCCTCGCGGTCGTTGCCTTTCTGCCTCCTCCAACTTAAGGGGGTCTTAACTAGTGAGCTGGTGGGTGTTTTAATAGGGCGGCGGAGGAGGGAGTAGGGGCGAGGGGAGTGGAGAGGGAGGTGTGGACTGGGGAACCCTGAGGGGAGGGAACCGGCAGCGCGGGCGGGAGGGCGGGAGGCGGGGAGGGGGGAGCGGGGAGAGAGAAATTGGCCATTCAAAGCCCTCTCCGAGCTGGAGGCCGGTCCTAAACGCCAATGAATTCAATTAACTTGATTGCTAACGTGTGCAGAGGAAGGCCGTGCGTACGAGGAGGCCGCCACCTGATCCCAGCTTTCCCGGGGCGGCGGGATGGGAGCCCTCGCTTTGTAGACGTCCCCGGGTTACGAGTTCTCGCTAAGTGATAAAGTCCCCCGTGGTGTTTGAGTAATTTGTTTAAAAGCCAAACGGTGTGCCCTTACGCTAAGTCGCCGCCCCGAGGAGGAAGAGCTGGGAGGGTGTGTGCGCGAGTACCTGGAGCGAGGCGGCCGCGACTCTGCGAAAGCCCCGGCGGGTCTGCAACCTGTTAACCCTTTCTTCCCTCCGGCTGAAGTTGCCGAGCTGACAGCAACTGTCAAGCCTCCCTTATGCAGAAGTTCCCCCCGAAGGTGGGCAGAAAGAGAAAATAATAATAATAATAATTGTATTGTTTTGTTCAGCCCGGTCCCCTAACGTAAAAGTACGAAACGGGGCGCATTCAAAATAAAATATAACGTAATAAAAATTGTTTTCTAGAGAACTCGTACACAGCCCATCTCTCAGGAAATAGCTTACTTAGAGTAGTGTTTGCTCTTTGCGAGCCTTCTACAAAGATAACGAGTCAAAATGTGGATTCTTGCTTGCAAATAGCTTTTTCTTATCATTCTGACAATGAATGCCCCAAGGCTGGGTAGAGTTCGTTTTCTTGGTTACTTTTACCCCCCTTTCTTTTTGGTCCTGGCCAGTAAGTTTTCTGATGACTTACAATGGACAGTAGGTGGCACTGTTTAGGAGAAAATGAGAGTGAGTTTACAAATTAAGTTGGGTCTTTGGAGATTCCCCTGAAATTGTTATAGGGTAAAAAAAAAAAGATTTTTTCTTTCTTTCTTTCTTTTTTTTTTTTCTTTTTCTTCCCCTTCCAAGGATCCTCTGAGGCGTGGATTTCTTTCAAACTCGACCAGACCTTGAAGACTGGATACTTAGTCCTCATCACATATTTGGGCTATAATGAACAAGTCGAAACAGAAAAGTAGAATAAACTGGAAGCGATGTTTTCAACACGTTGTATGGGGTGTGGTATTGGGGGATGTGATTAGAGGTCAAGAATTTTACTGCACTACCTGGTAGTCAGAGGTCCTAGTCCCCTGGGGCCGAGCTGCAAAGATCAGCGGGTTTCTGTCCCCCACCCCCATGTCTCACCCCCTACCCCCACCCCCACCCCCCACAGCGGTTACACCTCTGGGAAGCATTATCTTGGCCTGATGACTTCACACTGCTCAGTGGAAACCCACTTAACTCATTTCCCCACAACAAACCTTCATGGTTTCAGCCTTTGTTTGAACTCTGCCTTAGGTGGTTCAACTCTTGAGAGACTGGCTTAAATTTCAGAAAACAATTTCATCCCACTTAATCAGACTTGAGCTTCCCGATGTTTAGTTTTTCAGTAGTTTTCAGTTGCTAAATTATTGTTTTAAATATATTATCTAACTTCTGTGCTCTGACATCTAACAAGGATTAAACTGATTTAGAGGTAGCATGGATATTGTGGGGTGCCAAGTGTCTAGCTGTGAGACCCCAGGGGTACATTTAAACCTTCCAGCTCTAAACTTCCATGTATATTATATGTAATGCAAGAACACTGATTATTGCTTAGTAACATTTAACTGTTCCTATGCTAATAGTTCAAGCAATAAAAACATTTAGTGAAACTGGGTTTCCTTATTAAAGAAAAACACATTTGTTGTTTCTCCGCTTGTACTTTTAATTCATGACCCATAAAACAAAAGTAAAATGTTCTCTGTCTGTAGATGGATATAAAGGCTAATTATATGCCTATGCATTTCTGTCATTCCCCTAGCCCTGCTCCAAGGAATAGGGAAGAGCTAGCACAATTTAAAGCCAGAGGTGAAAGCTCCTTGAAGACAAAAGGGATCTAGGATAAGAGAGATTTAAATTCAGATCCTATCTTTTGATGTTCTGCTTGTGGGATCCAGGAAGCATATTTCATCTCTCTGGATCTTCACTTCCTTCACTTTCTCCAATAAATGGAGAAAATATCTACTTTAATACAGTTGTTACGGTGATAGAATGTGTTAATTTATGTCAAGAGTTTAGTACCTGCAACATTATAAGTATTCAAAATAACTTTAGTACTGTACTCTTCTGGGCTTCGTTTCTTGGTAAGCATTAACCATGGTTTCATCCTGTGCTCTCTTACGTGACCTACTTCAGCTTTCTATCCCTCACTGACTCTCATAGATTGAATTATGTGCCTATGGATTTATCTCAAACCTTCACATTTAACCCAACTTCTTTTCTGAGTTTTAGGCTGAAATTACAGCTATCAACCATCTAGTATCAATTCATAAGCAACCTAATTAGGAGACATAAGATCGCATAAGATCAGAAGCAAACTATGGCACCAACCAACTGAATAACATTAGATAATTAATTTAAATTTCAACTTTCTTTTCTTTTTTTTTCTTTTTTTCTTTCTTTCTTTCTTTTTTTTTTTTTTTTTTGAGACAGGGTCTTGCTCTGTCCCCTAGGCTAAAATGCAGTAAGTAGGCATCATCACAGATTACTGCAACCTCAAACTTCTGGCCTCAAGCAGTCCTCTGCCTGGGCTTCCCAAAGCACTAAGATTGCAGGCTCAAAGCCACCCTGCCCAGCCAAATTTCTGTCTTAAACATGAGCTGTTTAGATCAAAAGATAAGATCCTTTTATCCATCCCTTTCAGGTCTTGACATTCTAAAGCGCACCTTTTCCGACCCATACCTGTTACATTTACAGCTGTACAAGACAACTGAGCAAACAACTTCAGACATGGGAGATTTTACTTTAGTAGATGCCAGTTAGCAGTATGTTGTTGCTGATCTCCTTCCTCCCTCAACACAAAACAAATGGTTCCTATGTCTGAGAGACAAAGTATCCAGAAGAAAGATTTAGTATCTTCATAATTCTCTGTATAAATGATTCTTAAACTTTTAGTATAGGACCTCTTTACACTCCTAATAGTTATTAAGAAGGTCAAAAAATGTGGGTTATATTTATCAATATAGTAATATAATATTGTGGTATATATTGATTTGTGATATTAGAAATTAAATCTGATTGAAAAAGCCTAAAATATTAATTCACTTGAAGTGAATTGATAAATATTGATTTATTAATATTAATCGATAAACCCAATTATGTGCCAACTTAATAACACTTTTGTGAAAATAACTTTTTTAAAACAAAAAATTAGAAAAGTGGCATTAGTTTCCATTTTTGCAAATCTATACTATCTGGCTTAATTAGAAGACAGCTGGATTCTCATACTTGCTTCTGCATTCAATTGTTTTGATTGAAGTATATGAAAAAAAATCTGGCCTCACAGAGATATGTAATTGGGAAGTGGTGGAGTATTTTGATGGTCTTTGTGTCTATTCTCCTTTGATACTACATCAAAAATTGGTAAGTTGCAATGTTGAATCTAAAACAATAAGAATGACCTTTGTGTACCATATTATTAATACATTAAAATCTGTTGGTCTATCTTATACTTTAAATGCATCTTTTGCAACCATTCATGAATTTGTAATAAAATTGATTATTTGAAAAATATCAGTTCACTAAGTTATGCATATTTTCCAAATGTTGATACATTACATTTTCAATATCAAAAAAGATCATAATCATTAATATCACAACAGATCTCATCCATTAAGTCTTCAAATGTTGGGGAGGCTGTCGTGTCCATGATAGCAAATACAAATTTTCCATAATTCTAATTTTCTATTGAAAGCACAGATATTATCACTAGCAAAAACAAGAAACAACAACAACAAAATACTCAGTTGCTTGCATTGTAGTAACAGGTTCACTTCCTTCAATTTAAAAACAAAAGTCTTCCAAATACCCAAGTCTGAATAACAGCAGTTTGTCAGTAGTTCTTTCAATTGAAAATTATGTTGCATGATAAAAGTGGACATCTCTGCTCACAACTCAGTCACAGACAACCACAGCAGTACAGTGTGCAGCAGAAATCTTTTCTGTATACTTTCTATTTCTTCACACAGAATATTAAAAAGCCATATACTCAAGGGTTAAAATTTAATGAAAATATTTTTTAATGCTTTATCAAGGATCTTCTTAAGTGAAACCTGCTTGTTATTTCCCTGTGAGTGCTTGGGGGTAAAGAATGTGACGATGACTGCTAGTACAGTTTGGTGCCACTAGCTTGTTTCCAGCCAAGGCATTATAGTTTACTCACCACTGCCTTTGCATCATCAGTACAAATGTCGACAAGGTAAAAGATGGAAAATAATGTCTTAGTATTATTATAAACATAGTTATGCTCCTTTGAAAGGGTCTCAGGATCCCCAAAATTCTACAAACCACACTAGAAAATACTGGTTTATAGTAAGCATAACAAACGCAGTGGTGTACAATTCTGGTTGTTTTACTTTAAGAGTAGACAAACGGTTTCACATTGAGAAGGATCTAGCAGTAAGAAGAGGACTATCAATAGCAACCCTGTCAGATGAAGCATAGCTATAGGAAATAGTAATGCTTAGTATGACACAGAGGATTCAGAGAATATAACAGACATGGAAAAACTTTTATAAGTCTTGGATTTCCATATGAGATTTAGCATATTCTGTATGATTCTAAGTCTGCATACCAGTGAGAATTAAAATACATCATTTTTTGCTCCATAAATGGTAGAATTTCTGAAGAGTCTGAGCTGTGCAAAGATGGAAAAGAATTGACCTGG